CCTCGGAAACCCTGTACAGGGTCGCTATGGGTCGGACCCGACTCGATGGCACTTAACAACAACTTAACAATGATCATTGATTAGAATTTCCACTGCTCTTAGACAAGTTTCCAGAGTTTTAAGATTGTCAACTATCAAATTGCAAAATTTTTAAAACATCAAAAATGATTCAGTAAAAAAAGCCACCAAATTCTGATATTCAGTTCCTCTTTTTTCAATATGGCCAAATTAACTACACAAAAAGCAGTTGTCATTGAAGTTGTAAATAACTTCATTTTGCTCAGGTCAACGATTAGCACTCATGGAAACAGCAGTACAGAAAATAAATGACATATTGCATTAGGTAAATCTACTGCACAAGACCTCTTTGAAGTGTTGAAGAGCAAAGAAGTCAGTTTGTGGACTAAGGTGCGCCTGACCCAAGCCTTGGTTATTTTTAATAATCTCATATGCATGTGAAAGTTGGACAGTGAATATGGAAGTCCATAGGAGAATTGATGCATTTGAGTTATGGTGTTGAAAGAGAATATTAAAAGTACCATGGACTGCCAAAAGAACAACCATTCTGTGTTGGAAAATGTATAGCCAGAATGCTCCTTGGAAGCCAAGATGGCCAGACTTTGTCTATCATACTTTGGACATATCATCAGGGATCAGTCCCTGAAGAAGGATATCATGTGAAGTAAAGTGGAGCATCAGAGAAATACAAAAAGACCCCCCAATGAGATGGATTGTCACCGTGGCAAACAGCAACAGGTTCAAACATAGCAATGATTGTGATGTTGGTTTAGGAGCAAGCAGTGTTTTGCTCTGTTGTGTCACTATGAGTCCGTAGTGATGGCACCTTACAATAAGAACAAAAACCACAACAAAAAATTCATTTTGCTTGGATTTGTAATAAACACTCATGGAAACAGCAATCAAGAAATCAAAGGATGTGTTTGAACCAAATGATACTTTTGATGACTAACTCATGCCTGACCCAAGCCATCATGTCATCTATATGTGAAACTTGGGCAATGAATAAGGAAGATGGCAGTAGAATCAATGTATTTGAATTATGGTGCTAGTGAAGAATATTTAACTTACCATTTACAGCCAGAAGAACAAAAATTTATCTGAGGAAGACCCCAACAAGATGGATTGACACAGTAACAGCAACAATGGGCTCAAATGTAACACAATTGTAAGGATGGCACAGGATCCGTCAGTGTTTTTATTCTTTTGTGTGTAAGTTCACTATGAGTTGAATCTAACCTGATGACACCTAACAACAACAAAAGATTCTGACTTATGCAAATCCTGTGTGTTTCAGAGTAGAATTGCACGGCATAGGGTTTTCAATGACTGTGATCTTTACAAAGCAGATTGCCAAGCTTTCCTTTCAAGGTGTCTCTGGGTAGAAAAATAAACAGCCAGATTTGTAATTAAGTGCTTAACCAATTCTTCCACCTAGAGCATCCAATACATCCATAATAGAAAGTTAAAGGTTTCATTGTTATAATATGTAACAAATATTATCAGTAGAACCATTCTCAGTATAATCTAATGATATAAATGTTTCTTCATGTAGGGATGCCACAAGATGCACATGCAAAAAGTTTATTTAAAAGCAAGCCACCAAAATGAGTAAAGTTCTGCAATTTTGTCTCTTGACCAGGATAATTATGAATATTTCTCATTATTAAGACTCTTTTCACTCTTCTACCCACCAAGTGCAGTCATAGAATCCTGAACACGTAAAGTAAATGGGAAATTTCCCACAAGAAACATAGTTCATAAATCAAGGCAGCAATGGGAGCTCTTGGTATTTTAATGTATTTATAGTAATAACATTTTCTAAATATAATTTTAAAATGTGATTTTCAGCCCCTTAAATTAGTTAGTGTACAACATAGTTTCTGACTGCATCCATGGATTATCTTCAAATGATCCTAATAGTGACAATTCATTTTACTGATTATATCATCTACAACATCTGTTTTATGTGTTGGAGAAGAATATTAGAAGTACCATGGACTGCCAGAAAAAAAAAAAAAAAAAAAAAAATCTGTGTTAGAAGAAGTACAGCCAGAATGCTCCTTAAAGACCTGAATAGCAAGATTTCGTCTCTCATACTTCAGACATATTATCAGGAGGGACTAGTCCTTGGGGAGGACGTCATGCTTGGTAAAGTAGAGGGTCAGTGAAAAAGAAGAAGACCCCAATGAGATGGATTAACACAATGGCAGCAGCAATTAGCTCAAGCTTAACAATGATTGTAAGGATGGTGCAGGACCAGGCGTGTTTCGTTCAGTTGTGCATGAGTCAGAACTGACTCCGTGGCACCTAACAAGAGCATCAACAACAAACTTGCAATTAAACTTATGAATATGTTCAATGATCCTCCCATTTAATTAAACACATCTGAAAAACTGAAGGTGAAGCAGCAGGTTTGACTTAGTACTGGGACGACTAGGAATAGGAACACTGTTTGACAATATAAGCTTCTGGTTCTCTTCAAGAAAATCAGTGTTTGGGTTTCAAACAACTCTGTGCAACTGGCTTTTCAGTTACATAAACAATGAACATGTTGGCCCCTGAGTGTTAATTTACTGTAGCGGTAAACAACTCTACCATACTTTGGCCTCTAAATTATCTATACTAAGATATGGAGAATCAAATTGTGGAGAAAAAATTCAAAATGCTAACTAGGAACATATATTTCTTGGAGCTCTGGGAGGTTTTACATGATTTATTATACTTCCTAAGTTTACCTTCCTAATGATGTTATGATAATATGGATATTTAAAAAAATCCATATGATAAATGATGACATGGATATTTTTAAAAAGCTAGGAATACCTGAGAAATTGCATAATGAAAAGTTAGAATGGAAAAGGTGATGATTACCAAAAAAAAAAAAAAAAAATTCTGTTAGATAAAAGCTGGTCCAGGACATGTCATTTCCTCTAAGTGCCCCTATCACATAGCTCATCAACAGGTAAGTAATTAGACTTAGCTAAACAAACATAGGATATTTGACCTGTATCCAATAACTTCATTCAAACTTCAATCATAGAAGATAGATATTGTGTAAGCCTTTTATATTGTTCACTCTATAAAATGCTCCTTAGAAAGAGATAATATATAAACCCATGATTGCTCCAATTAGAAATTTTTCTCATTATGATAAGGATCAATGTATGTTACACAATAGCGCATTACCATTTAAAGAGAACTTCTTGTATTGAAAAGCTGAGATAAATGAAATTACAGTTAATGATCATATGGTTGCTTACATTTTCACAAAATACCTAATTTCAACTAAAAATCAATGAAGAATTCTGAAGTGATTATAATAATCTCCTTTAAGCATCATATTAAAAAGAATGTAGTTTCTTGATTTGTTTTTAAATGACTCTCAGGAACAAGTGGTTGCTTTTCACAGGAGTTAAAAGAGAAGATGGACGAGCTCCTGCCCTTGATCCCTGTACTGGAACAGTACAAAACAGATGCCAAGCTAATCACCCAGTTCAAGGAGGAGATTCGGAATCTGTCAGCTGTTCTCACCGGGATACAGGAAGAAATCGGTGCCTATGACTATGAGGAACTACACCAAAGAGTGCTTAGCTTGGAAACGAGACTTCGTGACTGCATGAAAAAGCTAAGTAAGTAGAACAATTTCATTTGTCTTTTTCAGTTGTGTATTTTAAGCAGTTTCAATGAAAACTGCATTCTACTGTTTTCAAAAAGTCATAAAGTACCTAATTGTAGGAAAACCACTGCTTGCTTTCTTAGTGGTAAGTGATTTCTTAATGACTTAAGCATATCTTATTGTTGTTGTTAAGTGCCATCGAGTCAATTTAAACTCACAGCGACTCTGTACTGGGTTTCCAAGGAGCAGCTGGTGGATTTGAACTGCTAACCTTGTGGTTCACAGGCTAGTGATCATTCTACAATGCCATAGCACCACTGGAAAGAAGTTGTCTAGCAAAAACAGGCAATTCTGTTAGCTACACTCATGGACATACGTTTTACTACCGATATATAATATGTAAGAAAGGAGTAGCACTTTTGATAGTGGAGAAAGTCAGACTTTAAAGAAAGTTATCCTGGGGCCAAAAGTGAAACAATAATGATTAAAGCAAACCAAAACTATACCTCTGCTATGCACAGTTACTATCATCTCTTCTGTTTATCAACCAACCTACTGCCATCAAGTTGATTGCAATTAATTGCAATTCTATGGGTGTCAGAATACAATTGAATAGTCTCAAGAAATAGAAAAAGAGGCTTCTACTCAAATACATAGTCCCCACCCTGCAAAAGGTGAAGCATATGACATGGGTTCTAGACTCTAGATCATGCCTTCTCAACTTTGTGGTTCAGTGTGGTCTAAGCTTGCACATTATTCCTCAATTATTTCATTGAATTACTCAAGGAAAGTCATCATGGAACTTCTCTGTAACTTAAATACAAAGTAACATGGAAGTTCAGTTAAGAGTAATGAAAAAATTTGGAAGTAGATACTGATGATTGTTTTACAACATGGTGACCATAATTAATATCACTGAATAGTGCAGATAAAAATAGTTGAGATGGCACATGTATTTCTATTTATTATAAATGCCTTTGTGAATAGTATTTTATTTATTTAGTACGTTATGTGATATGACAAGGAGAATAATTTAGTAATCATAGAAAGTATTTTCCAAGGTGTATATATATATCCAGAACCAAAAGCCCTATACCATCAAGTTGATTTCAGCTCACAACAACCATATAGTGTTTCTGAGGCTGTAAATCTTTATGGAACAGAAAGCTTCATCTTTCTTTCCTGGAGCAGCTAGTGGGTTTGAGTTGCTGACTTGTGGTTAGCAATCCTGTGCTTATCCTACAATGCTATCAGAGCTCTTTATACACATCTACACATAAAGAGCTTCAAAAAGTTCATAGAAAAATGGAATTAAAACTAATGTAATACTTGAAGGGCCCCTCATATGTTGTTGTTAAGTGCTATCAACTTAGTTCTAACTCATAACAACCCCATGAAGCATTTCCAAGGAGCAGCTGGTGGGCTTGAACTGCTGACATTGTGGTTCACAGTCCAGTCCTGATCCTACAGAATTACACACTCTCGCTTTCTCTCTCTCTCTTTATATATATATATATAAATATATACACACACACACACATATATGTATACACATATATGGAGTCCTGGTGTGGCACAGTGGGCTAATACGCTGGACTGCAAAGTTGTGTGAACCATAAGGTTGATGGTTCAAGCTCACCAGCTGCTCGTCGGAAACCCTATATAGAGTT